CTATCACCTTACTATTAAGAATGTCATAATTACATAATTAAACAAAAAAATTGTGAGTATTAATTTATAAGAGTAAGAAATTTAAAAATTATTGACAATTAAAATTATGAATTTAAATTTCGCCTAAGTCATAATTATATATAATATATATATATTAAATATATAATATATATATATATATATATATATATATATATATATATATATAAATATATATATATATAATATATATAAGCTTTCAATAATCTCACTCTAACTAATGCAATAGTCAAGACATGCCTTTTTCTGTCACGCTTGCGCTCCCGGGGATGGCTAGGCTTTTGCCCTAGCCGCTTCGTCCTCTCCGTCTTGCTGCATGTCGTTTCAGGAAAGTTTTTCTCTGCTTTTGTCGTGTGTTTTTTCTTTCTTGCTGTATGGCGCCTCTTAGGACCCTGGTTCTTGGTCGGTCTTCTTCGCTGCTTTTAAGGAGGCCCTTGCGGCGCCTTTCTTCTTCCGTCTATTTTTTTCACTTGAAGATTTCTTCTCATCATGGACTGCCTGCGTTGTGGATTTCGGAGGCGAAACCAAGCTTTGGCTGCTCCTTTCGAATTTGCCCTTGTTGGGAAATTTCTAGCCAGTAACCGTCCATTGAAGCCATTAGGGAGTTTTTTCTTTAAACTCAACTAATATGTGAGGTTCTGTCACGTTTTAAACCAACAGAATGTTTTGATTAAGCTTTTCAATGACCTGGATTATTGTAGGATATTTGCTCATAGGTCGATATTTGTGAGTAATTGCTTCATGAAACTGATTAAATGGTCCCCCTCTCTGGATATTGATATTGAGTCTCCGGTCATTCCCATTTGGATTCTTTCCAACCTCCGACCTCATTTGTTTCCTCTCGTATCTTACATGGATTAGGTTCTGTTTTGGAAACCTTTAAAAACGATAACTCGACTCCATTGGATCAAGGCCTTCTGTTGCGCGTGTTTTGGTTGAACTGGATGTGTCAAAGCTACCCGAAAAAGATTGGATTGGATAGATTCCTTGGTTATGTACAAAAAGTGGTGTTGAAGACTCCCTAAGTACTGTGTGCATTGCTCTGCTTAGGCCATGCGAAGAATGGTGTAAAATTTTGAATCCTAACCTTGTGTCTGTGCTTCCTGTGAGTGGTTGTTATCACGAGGTTGCCGCGAATGTGGTTACATGTTGTTTCTGAGCCATGTCGAATGTTTTGCCTGGTAGGGTTTCACCAGCCGAATTCTGTTTGGGCACGGGGGAAATTTGATGAGGTGATCTTAATTTAATGTCTCTGAGGTCAATGATTCTGTTCTCCGCTTCCTGATAATATTGGGTAGTAGCCATCCGTTAGTGTAATACTTGTGTTGTGGAATTGAAAATGTTAGTGAATAATTAGATTCTGATAAGAATTTTTCGTTGGAGAGTGTAACTGCATGCTTGGATGGGTGAGAGAGGATAATCGTTCGGATGCTCTTTTGGCATCTATTCCTAAGTGCCATTCCTTTTATTCCATTGCTGGGTTGGGTGTTTTGTGCTCGTGAAAATGGGTATTTGGTTTGCATCGGAGATTGGTGTCGGAGGTGTCTTCTAGTGTATGAATATGTTGATGCCGATTGAGATCACCTGTCAGGGGTTGTGAACCAAAATGAAGTTGAACAAGTTTTATAAGGTTGCTGATGTGTGATGTGGTCCGGCTGGTACTGAAGCGTAACTCACTCTCATGGTGCAATGCAAGTTATTTCTATCTCAACAAATTAGTAGAGTGCCTGTTTAGTAGAGATGATTACAGAGTGCTAGCTAACCTTGTGGTGAATCTCTCTGGATTGGAGATAGGAACAAAGTGATGGTGGTTGACTCGTCTGAGGATGATTCGATTTCGAACAGCTTAGAATTCCGATCTTGATCTGCGTTTGTGCGTTCGTTCTTAATATTGACACTCCGCGGAAAGTTTTGGGGAGAGGTAACGCAATGAGGTGATTTTTATACTGGTTTGTTTCTGCTATGTTGATGCTATGGTTTTTGTTGGCTTTATTGATCGTTCCTGATGATGTGTGTGGCTGAATGAGCAATGTGGGTCGGGGCTCACGTCCGGCGTTTTGCCGTGCTACGTCTTGGTGTGCGGTTCGGGATGGTTCGAGTTGTCTTTGCTGACACTTTATTGGAGGGCGTGGCGGATGACGGGACGTTGGGAGCCTGGACCAATAAGTCTGGATCGCTTAGCTATTTTTCTTATTGTTGCTTTTGTCTGTTTTATTTTTTTCTTTGTGCTGTGTATCTTTTGGTTGTCTAATATATAAACTTAATATATATAATTATTTCTAACTATTATAATACTTACCCATATATATAAAGACTAGGTTTAATTATTTTTTATATTATATATTTTTATTAATCAATAATATATATATATTATTAATTATATAAATAAAATTTATTTCAATTTAATATATAAATATATTATTAAATATTATTAATATAATATATTTATTATATATATTATATATATAATTAGTTATATATATTATATTATATATATAGTATATATTATATATATATATATATATATATAATATATATATATAATGAATACATATAATAAATAATTATATATTCATGTAAATTCAAATATATATCAAAATCATTTCTTATAATAATTTATATCCAAAATATGCACATGTAATTAATAATCTTATTTAATAATTTTGGGATGAAATGACTATATTTCCGAGTAATGATGGATGAACAGCTGAAAATAAAAGAAATCCTTTTGTGATATTTTTATCATAGGTATATTTCTCTTACATAAAATTTTTAATTTTGAACATAAAAGTTTTGAATGGAATAGCTTGAAAAAAAATTCTGTGAGAAATTGAAAATCAAAACTATATAAATATTTAGATATATAATATATATAATAAATATATTATATATATATATATAATATATATATAATATATATATATATATATCAAGTGATCATAATCATAGGCAAGCATCAAATTATTAAAACAAGCAAAATTGAAAGGTAGGCTTATTTGAAATATTTACACTTTTTATAAATGTGGTTATGAAGGTTACTGGAAAAAGGTAATTTTTTATTGCAATAGAGAAAAACAAGCTTCTAGCGCAAAAAATTTTTAAAAAATAAAAAATAATGATAAAAAATTGTGATTGCAGTTGGCAAAATATAGTAAGAAAACTGGCCCAAGCGACATCTAAAGTTTATTTTGGAACAATTTTTTATTGCTTTTTAAAACAGCTCTTTATTACAAAAATTTCTAGTTTAAAATTTTTTGTACTAAAAAAATGTTTAGAAAGCACCATGAAAGTTATCTCAAATGAAGCCTAAATTGAAATAAAAATTGAGCCTTAAAGTTTAATAAAAAACTTAAAATGATCATTTAGTGGCAATATTTTTTTTTAACGGATATTCTTACTTTTTTAGGTAATTTACATATATATCATAAAATTTTTATGTATGTAAATATTTATCATCTAAATAGTTATATTTATTTGCATACAATTTTAATATCTAAATCATATCAAAAAAATTATATGAAAATATGTATTTTATTGAAATAAATTAATATTAATAATATTTTTTGATATCGTTTAAAAATTTAAATATAATATAAATAAATATAAATTTTTTTGGTCATTCAAATGAACCAATTGCATCAGCCTCTTTAGACATCATATTAAGATTTCATTTGGGGCGATTTTCTTATTGCATTTTAAAACACTTTTTTAATAAAAAAAAATTTAACTGAAAATATTTATACTAAAACAACTACTTTAGAAAATAATTAAAAAACTATCACAAAGAAAGTCTAAATTATTTCTTGTCCATAAGCTAAACGTAACGGTCATAACAAAAAACACTAAGTTGCTGCTTCAACTTTGCAATGTTAAGAACCGTATAATGACCTTTTAAATCCTAATTAAAGGTATTATGTATGATATTTTTTTTTCTACGAACATCAGACAGAGATAACTGTCCGGTATTCTATCTGTTTACAGTAAAAGCACAGTTAAAGCGTATATGCTACAGTAATAACGCTTTAACTGCGCTTTTACTATAAACAGAGAGAAAATCGTACAGTTCTCTCTGTCCGGTGTCCGCACAAAATAATCTCTCATTATGTACAGCTTTGTTAACATGAACAAAGTAATTAGATGACTGGACAATAATCACTCCAATATTATGCTCATTTGGTTGCTTTGATGCCAAATTATTTTATTTTCCTTCAAGGATAATAGAAATTCATTTTAGAAATTATTATTGATTTTTATTTTAGTTATTTAGAGTTGGAAAATGAAATCATCAATGTCAAGTTAATACTAAATTAATGTTAGTGGTCAATTACACCCAATCAAATTATAATTTTAGAAATATCATCATTTTTTTTCAGTTTTAGGAGTTGAGTGGAAATTAAAAATTGATAAAGGCAAAATTCGATATTAAAATATTAGCTAAAACTTCTAAAATCTTTACAAACTAAACTAATGTGTGCTCATCACTTTTACAGAAAGAAAAATTAGGTCATGATACTCTACTAAAAAAATATTAGAATGAATTTCAAAATTTTTAAATTTATTTTGAAAAAATAGTATAATATGTAAATAATAAATCAACATGTATACTGCACTCATCCCAAAGTAAATTAAGATATTTTGATTTAGCTTTAATTTGGAACAACTTACTTACATTTTTCTAAAGCAATTTTTTTAGTAAAAAAAAAATTTTGAACTAAAACTTTTTATACTAAAAGCTGCTTTAAAAATTAATAAAAAAACTGTCCCAAACATAGCTTTAGTATATCCCTGAATAATTTTGTTGAGATATGATTTTTTTTAACTTAAATGTAAAAATGAAATCTTTATTTATGAGAGAATTTGAAGGTGGGTATGGAGTTAAAAATTCATCTTAAATTAATTTTCAGCAGCATTCGATTAAATGAAAGAACATTAAAAAATTATCCTATTTACAGAACATATTTTCAAGCTTTACCCAATAAAATGTGTCCAGACAGAAGAGAAAAACAAGAGAAATCATCAGAAAAATTTAGGCCTGAAGAACCATGAAACTACGAAAGCTCCCACAATGAAATACAGCAAGGTATTACAGACTGACTTGCGAGTACAGCAGCGAACACTATCTTCTGTGTCTTTTCTGCCTTCATTCCATAGTTCCATGAAGCTGCTGTCTTCCACGCCAAAAACATTTTTTGCGCTTAACCCACAGATTTCACAAATCCTGCGTTTTAACAAAAGCATACCGAATCAATTTCACACAAACATGAAACATTAAAGTTTCGTTTGAGACAGTATTTTTTTATTGATTTCTAAAACAATGTTTTAGTTCAAAAATCTTTAGATTAAAAAACTTTATATTGAAAAATTGTTGTAGAAAACAATAAAGCCTAAATTCCAATTAACAAGTACTTCATTAAAAAATATTTTTGTTCAAAATATTTTGCATCAAGATTGACTAATTTTATGAGTATCATTGAGTTTATGCTTCAATAAAATTAGATTATTAGACGATAGAACAAAAAAAAAAATTTAAAATATATGCAGCTAAATTATTAAATAATATAATTAAATTGTTAAACATTAAAAATATAATCATGATTGAAAAGAAGCATGAGATAAAATCTCAAGAAGTAATATTTTGATGCTTATAAGACTACATGAAATCTATGAAAGAAATTTTTACTGACATTGTTCGAGGAAGCTTATGCTTTTTTATTTTTACTTTTTAAAGTTCTTTTCTCAACCTACAGTTTTGTAGCTATTTTTTCAAAAATAAATTTTTAAAGTAAAAAACAATTAAAGAATAGTGAAAAAGTTGTATTTTAAAAACACAAGTTTTTTTTTACTATTTTTCTTACCGTAAAAGCATACAAAAAGCTATTCCAAATAAAGCTATTCCTTAGCAATCAGTAAAGCCTCATGAGTTGGTTGAATTAAATTTGTTATGGATATAGTACTAAGAAGATAACAACCAATGGATGATCTGAACGTCATGATTGTAGAACATGGATTCATTTAAGAAAATTACTTTCAGAAATAATGAAGTTTATATCTTAGGGGGATTAAATTATATCACATGAACGTGGGAAATAAACTGTTCTTAATGAAACAGAGGAGCATAAAAAAACAGAGCAAACAATTTCAAGTAAATTTCAAAATAACAGTTCTTTGGATTGTGATTACTAGTAAGTCAGAAAGCATTTGGCTGAACTAGTTCAATTATATAGATAAATATTCAGAAGCTTTTAGAATTGATCAAGAACAGAGAATAGTCAATAATTCATAGAAGTTTAAATCTAGATAGGAAATGTACGTATAGTGAGGTAACAAAAATTGATAATATCATTAAGAATAAACAACAATCAGAATTTGATTAACGTTTTGTATGATTGCTATTTTTAGAAACAGAAATCACTAATGACCCCAAAGAAAAAACAAATTAAATAGCTGCAGAATCCGCAGTTGATTCCTTACTTTGTTCAAAAGACGATGATTCTAACGCTATAGTAAGAGTGCTTTAGAACATCCAAAACGCACAGAATACCCTAAATTCCCAATTACAAATAACTACGGTACCAGTTCAGATCCATAACAAATGCAACAAAGATTTACAAATAGCACGACGATATAGTTCAATGTGTTGAACAGATGAACCGACGAAGTAAGGAAAGGTGCTCCGTACCTATTTCTCTTTAGCCTAAACCAAGCCTCCGCGCAGCGGCGGTGCGCGTGGCCCAATTCTCCCTTGCAGCCGCAGCCAATCTGGATCAGCTTCCAACCCGCCGCCGCTGATTCTCCTATCTCTGGTCTCAAATGACAGATCCGACAAACCTTGTCCTCACCGCTGCACTCCACGATAAGTTCTATAAAATTTTCTTTATCGTTTCCTTTTCCAGCATCCCGCTTGTCCTGCTTAAAGCTCGCCGCCGACGGTGCATTTCCCTCATTCGATGCCGCCCTGGCTCCGAAGACCTTCAAGCTCCCATCTCCGTCGGAAGAACAATCATTCTCGACGGAGTTCACCGTGATAACAACGGATTCCTCCGGCGATATTCTAAATGATCCGGTCATTCCTGCGTTGTTGTCGCCGGAGTGCATTACCGCCTCTCAGTGCATCGCATCAGAATCGTATGGTTTCAATTTAATCACAAAAAGAAGAAGGGCATACGTTTCGATCGAAAAGCAGATGGAAATCCGCGCGTTTCGTTTAGCGACCAACCGAGGCCGAGACGTTAGGCATTGTAATCAGAGAAACACAGGAAGCGAGAAAACGTTGCCACTTTGCCGGTGGTGCAATTATGGGCAAAATTTTTGAAAGGAGCAAAGTTGCTAAATGTTTTAGGAATAGGAGCATGAAAGTAATTAAATTTAAAAAGGAGCAGAAATGCGAACATGTATAGCGTGCAGCGGTGCATTTCCCTCATTTTATTTTAATAATGCTCCTTTTTTTAATTTAATCTTTAATGATGACCCCTTTTAAAATTTGCCCGCAATTATGTGGGGACGGATTTTTTGAACAAAATTTTCATTTAAATTATTCCGAGGCCGAGACGTTAGGCAATGTAATCAGAGAAACACAGGAAGCGAGAAAACGTTGCCACTTTGCCGGTGGTGCAATTATGTGGGGACGGATTTTTTGAACAAAATTTTCATTTAAATTATTAGATTTAATTTAAAATAATACACTATTAATTTTAATTTAATTTAATTTATTTCGAATAAATATATCTCTAAATTTATTTAAGATAATAATGGGGAAGCTATAGAGGTGAAAACTACCCGAACCAAACTCAAGTCATCCCTGATTTGATCTTGAGCTTGATTAATTAATTTAGTTCAACTCAAACTTGAGTTGTAATATAGGAATTCAAGAGCCAAGTCACATACTGACTCATTTATTAAGAAATTGAGAAAATAATAATGATTCAAGCCATTTTTTTAATAAAATTGTAAAAAAAAAGAGAAAATAGAAAAAAATAATCATTTAATATAGGTTTTATTCAGGATAACTTATGACTATTTTCTAAAGTAATTTTTAGTGAACAATTTCTTGAATTAAAAATTTTGTAATTAGAACTTTTTTTCCAAAAGTAGTAATAATGCCTTCCCAAGCGAACCAGTAAGAAAGTGAGATAAAGGCTTCGTTTGGGATAGCTCTCTTACTGTTTTATGAAGTAATTTTTTAGTACAAGAATTTTTAGCTAAAAAAAAATTTGTACAAAAAAATTTATATTTTTTAATAGTAAGGAAGCTTTCTCAAATGCATTCATAATTTTTAATTTTTTTTACAAATTTGAACTTAAAATATTTAAAATATTTTACATTAATATTTTTAAACAAGAGTTAGAGCTGACTCAAATTTGATTAGTTAATTCATGAAGATCACACACAAATAAAGTTGCGGTGACGATGTTGGTGCACAAGTCATTTGATTTTACGTAATGATCTACTGTGCAACCAAAAGCACACCAAATCGAGCAGATAATTAATGCGAGATCCACCATAATAGAGAAGTGAGTTGGAAGATGACGTTCGACCATTCGCCGCCCACCCGATAATCGTGGAGGCCCAAGAAAGATGCAGTCGCATAGACATAAGGGGTGTATTGGTAAATTGGCGCACATAATCATTATTAGGTCAGGTGACCTGACGTAGCTCTACATTCATACGCCAATAATATTTCACCACGTCTTCTTACTTTTTATCGCGCGGCCCGACGACCCGACACTGACCGGAACCCGTATTGTTGGGTATTGCTCGGTATTGCTAGGTATTGCTTGACAATAACGAGAAATATCGCTCTGTGAAGACCAATACCGAGCAATACCCAGCAATACCGAGAAAAACTCAGTATTGCTTGGTATTGCTAGGTATTGCTAGGTATTGGTCTTCACAGAATGGTATTTCTCGTTATTACCGAGCAAAATTGACCAATATCTAGCAATACCGAGCAATACGTAAACATAGCAATCCCGGGTCCGTTCCGGGTCAAGTTGTCGGGCCCGCGCGGTAATTAGTGAGAACACGTGACACTAATTTACTGGCGTCCGAACGTAGAGCTACGTTAGGTGACTGGACCAAATAAAAGTTCAAAGCATAGTAAGTCGCCGTCATAGCCCATTCCATTCCACGTGGCAGATAACAAAAAAAAAAAGGACTCATTGGACTTATTATATTTTGTTTTGGGACTTTCAATAATTTAAACACCGGCAAATTTTCATTTCCGCTGACCATCACTTTCCTCTATTTTAAACTTGGAATTTTTACATCATAACATTTAAAATTATTCTATTTACTTATCTAATATCTAAATTTTACTATTTATTATTCTACCATCTAAAAATTCGTACCCTCATCAAAACTATCACTCTGTTACTTCCCGTCAAATCCAAACCCCAATCCTGTCTTTCTGAAATGTTTGCTTCGTCTTCATCGCCTCTTCCTCCCTCGGCCAACTCATCGATCTGTTCGGCTAGGTATGTTCTTTCCATTTAACTATCTTGTTTTCCAGTTTATTAACCCCATTTCACTTGAAATTGATTTCGGCCTCCCCTCCCCAAAAGATTGCCTAAGTTTATTGCTCTTCTCCATTTCACTATCTACGTTAGATTTTCTTCTTCTACATTTCGATGCCTTTTACTGTTACTGTGGACTCACTTGCTATAGTCGGTTGAATCAAGTGTTCCTCAAGTTATAGAAAATTTTAGTTTCTTGAATGAGTAATAGAAGCATTTTATTCATTTCAATCGGAATCCATTTTTTGTAGAGACATTTTCTACCTGTTTTAGTCATTGAACAAGCCGTTGTCTCTATTTGTTTTAGTGAGTTAGCAAGATTTTTGTCTTCATGCTATGTGCCTTTTCAGATAGTCATCCTGACAAATATTTGATCTTAATCCGGCCTTTGTTTTGTAATTGTAGTAATTTTTTATTTATGACATGAGTTCGAGCTGTTTGATGCCATCAATGAGAACCCTAGACAGTCTAATCTATTGTCGTTGCACTCTACAATGTCAAATTTATACTTGTTACAAAGCTAATAATCACAGAAAAGTTTTTTATCAATGCCCCCGAAATAAAGCGGAAGATGATTGTAGATATTTTAGGTTGTTTGACGAACAAAATTGTGAACTAGAAGATATAAATCACTTAAGGAGTGCAAATGCATCAAAATTTCATTCCAAGCATGTCGTCTTAGTTACATCTGAGTTACTTCAAATTAAATTCTTGTTGGTTATCATGATTTTGCTTGTTGCTATTGCCGTCAGTTATCAATCAAAGACTTGTCATTGTAAAACGCTTGTGAATAATGTTAACACTTGAAGTTATGTACCAAATCTTATATTTTTTTTAAAAAAAGTTGAAGTTCTGTTGTGAATTGTAATTGTAAATGAATGGTTGATTGATAGGATTTTGTTACTAAATATAAGAATTTCTTCTAAATGGTAAATTTTTTTACTTCCAAATGATGATGAAAGGTCACCTCCAGGAGTGCAGATTAATTGTTTATCTGCATTAAAACTGAAAAGAAGGCTTTTGTATAGGCATAGTGCATGGCATGTACAAAAACTTGGTTCCCAGATTTTCCTTCTGGGCATGCTCCTGTTATTTTAGAGAGGAAAGGTAGATTGAGAGGTTTGATTGAGAAGCTCAAGCATCCATAGGTTTCTCTGTTTGTAAATTATGGGGATTTTTGTCTGCTTGATTATATCACATTTGCTGTAAGATTTTGATCCACGAGAGCATTAAAGCTAATTTCAAGAGTAAATCTTATATTTTATGGAGAAGATTTCGTTAATAATTATCATCATGCTATTGAGTAAAGGAAAAAATAGTAGCAACAAAAAATCATATATTTCACTGGATATCATATATTTCCTTTTTTTGTAAATTTTGGTGCACAAAAAATAGTAGCAACCAAAAACCAGTAGCAACAAAATCATATCTACAGCCTGTAAAGAACTGCCATTGTTCCCATCGAAACAATTCATAGAAAGAAGTACACTAAATATTTTGATTTTAAATGACAAGCTTTAATGTCGATTAAATATCTACAGCATGCAAAGAATCCATCAATGTAGACCTTGAAGCTGACAAATAACCACTTAAATGATTAGTTTTGGTTGTCACATAGGTACATTATATGTGAGTCAGGAATCCTATTAATTAACTATGAGCTTAGTGTGGGCACCCACTTGTAGTTATTATCTACTGAACTAAACATTTGGTCTCTTGCTAATTCCCTTGAACGCCCTATTTTCATGCATAGTAAAGATAAACCAAAAGTGATCCCTAATTTATTACTAATGTCCGTTGGTGTAATGTCAAGATTCCTATTCACGATGTCCTTGATTTCATAAGCAATCTAGCTTGTAGTAGCTTGTTTGTTTCCAGCTCTGTTACCCCTGGGCATAAATGTGTCGAATGTAATTTTCTAACTTCGAATGAATGGCCATCTAAACATAATGAAGCACGTACTCTCCATGTACAACCACGATATGTGCATGTATGAATAACTCTTGATTTGTCACTTTCTTTAATCTTAATAGCAATGTTTTATAAAATTACATAGGAACGAATGGCTTGTTTCAAACTTGATGAATCCTCAAAATGCAAACCAACAAATAAATAAATTTTCTCTTCAACTTGAGCCGTAAAGGAACCATCACACAAACCATCTACTATTATGTCATTATTCACTATGTTGTTTACACTTAAATCATGCATATCCCTCTTGATATGATAATATAGGTCATAGGCATGACCCCTAAGCTATTGGTAAAGTGCTTTGGTACATTCTTTCAATAATAACAAATTAATATTACCTCTCTCAAACTTTAAAGTTTTTTACTTCTACCAACATATTTTATCCTTCATTACTTCTTCACAGCAGTCTGTTACAACTCAGGAATCAATATTGAGAATGTGATTTTTTATGATAGTAAAATATTATTATTCGGATAATTTTATTATTTCTCCAAGCAATTACTGGATATTTTTTATTTGTTATTTATGTGTACTAACAATTTGAGGTAAATGATACTCTAGACTGCTGAAGACTTCAAGATAGAGTATATTAGGATTTTATGTAATAAAGTCTATAAATCTTTTATTTTTTATTTCTTGAGTATGAGAGAGTGTGATTGTAATTAGGTAATCATGCACACACACTCAGGAGGAGAGAGTCGAAACTTAAAATTTTAAATCTAATCGTATTGTACAACTTCCAATTGTACTATATGATTTGTCATATTTTTTACTCCAAAATGTATTT